AGAAGGATATTGACAACTTCCACCCACCCCAACTAGCTATATATATAATTTTAAAATATTTAAATTAATTAATAAAATAACTTTAACCCCTGAGGGTTAAAAAAAAATAAAAGTTAAAGGAGCACTATAGTGCCAGGAAAACATACTCGTTTTCCTGGCACTATGGTGCCCTGAGGGTGCCCCCACCCTAAGGGTCCCCCTCCCGCCGGGCTCTGGGGTGAGGAAGGGGTTAAAATCTTACCTTTCTCCAGCGCCGGGCGGGAGCTTTCCTCCTCCACTCCTTCTTCCTAGCAACGTCATCGGCTGAATGCGCATCCGCAGCAGGAGCCGCGCGCGCATTCACCCAGTTCATAGGAAAGCATTTACAATGCTTTCCTATGGACGCTGGCTTCTTCTCACTGTGATTTTCACAGTGAGAAGCACGCAAGCGCCTCTAGCGGCTGTCAATGAGACAGCCACTAGAGCTCTAGAGGCTGGATTAACCCTCAGTGTAAACATAGCAGTTTCTCTGAAACTGCTATGTTTATAAAAAAAAAAGGGTTAATCCTAGCTGGACCAGGCACCCAAACCACTTCAGCTATGGTGGTCCTTTAACCAAAAAACTTCTCCTGAAGGACATTGATACTTTAGAGAGAGTTGAGAGAAGGGCTACTAAACTGGATCATGGATTGCAGGATAACACTTACCAGGAAAGGTTAAAAGATCTTAACATGTATAGCTTGGAGGAAAGAAATATTTAAATACATAAAGGGAATCAACACAGTAAAGGAGGAGACTATATTTAAAAGAAGACAAATTACCAAAACAAGAGGACATAGTCTTAAATTAGAGGGGCAAAGGTTTAAAAATAATATCAGGAAGTATTACTTTACTGAGAGGGTAGTGGATGCATGGAATAGCCTTCCAGCTGAAGTGGTAGAGGTTAACACAGTGAAGGAGTTTAAGCATGCGTGGGATAGGCATAAGGATATCCTAACTATAAGATAATGCCAGGGACTAATGAAAGTATTTAGAAATTGGGCAGACTAGATGGGCTGAATGGTTTTTATCTGCCGTCACATTATATGTTTCTATATTTTATTCAATGGTGTAATTCCAGAAAAGCAGCCTTTTCCCTTTAAGAACCCCTTTTTTTGTTGCTCTCTTTCCTTCAGTTTGACCCCTCATTGAAATGACCACTACATTGGGCACTGAATAGGGTTGTATACTACATTTCCCATGGTGTTCAGACAACATTTTGACAGAATTAGGGTAATTCAATAAACTGAATATTTCTTGAGAAATTCACTTTTTAGGTAAATGATCCTGAAATGGGAACAAAAATCTGGATATAATGAGACACAGATGTAACTTTTTTTAAGCGACGATATATTTTTAACACATTATAACAAGTTATTGCATAACAATAAATGTAAAAAAGAACACATTAGACAAAAAACAAATAAAACATTTAATAGACAAGAGTATGTTAACGCTTTCCAAGCACCATAACCACTACAGCTCTTTATAGTGGTTATGATGTCAGGAGTATTGTGGCAGCCCACCCCTGGTGTAACGAACAGTTATTAAATGGTTCTACTTCGGAAGTCCACTAGACGCCACTCCTCACCTAGACTACTAAAGTAGGTGGGAAGGAATACCCATTAGCTCTCCAGGGCTATTGAGTTGAGTCAGTCAGCTGGCACTCTTAGCCAATGATCTAAGCCCTACACTGCAGGAAAGATAAGAGAAGTTCCTGCTTAGGATGGGAGCGGCCCAGCAGACCCAAGTAAGAAGTCACACTGTTCAAAAATACTTTGATCCTTGATTCTTTACAATGGGGGCGACCTGCCACCATAGTGCTTTGAGTATTCCTTGGAATACAAAAAAAGAGCGCTTGAGTGATACATTATCCTGTCCTATTGTGTTTAATATGTGTACCACAGCTTCTTGCATTGACAGCACACAGCTTGTGTCTTCCTGTTGGGCTAAACCAGACACCAGAATATCTCCTATACAGTAGGAGCTTCAAAATTCTGCAGAAATGTAAAAACGGCCACTGGGGAAACTACTAGCACAATGGCCACCCAGCTACTGTTTTTTCATTTAAATATTTGACAAAAAACTTTGTTGGTTTTAAATTCCCACCTCATGGCGATGTTTTTATTGGAAGATTTTAGTTTCTCAGATGAATGTCTTCCAGCATTGGTTCTTAAAGCAGAACTGTCACTTCACACACCTTGTAATTTTCTAATTATTTATCCCCTATTTATAGCAAATCTTTTTTTGTGAGGGCTGAAAAATAAAATGAAGTGTAGATATCCACCCATCTACCTTGGAACTAGGTACCTCCATCTTGTTTCCTGTCAATTTTGACCTTTGTACCAGAACCGAACTGGATTGTGATGTAATTCGCTAAATCTCTATTTACACGTATTAAACAAAAAACGAGGCATCACATAAAAGAAATCCAAATAAAAACATTAACTCAAGTGATAGGCAATTTTTTTTTTGTGTGGCAAAGAGATTCAATTAAACAAACCAAAATTTTATATAAAATAGCCAAACTGGTTAAAAATATCTAGGTCACGTTAATTTTCTCCAATTTCGCATGATCTACACACAAAAACAGCTTCATTAAGCTGCACTTGACATTATAAGATAATATTGCTTATATTTGTGGATAAATCACAGGATGTGAAAGAGATAGAGAATAAAGCTTGATGTGATCTTTTTAAAAACAAATTGTTTCTAAGAAAATAGAGGTTGTTTCTCAGTAAGCAGAAGGAAATCACCCGCCCCTAATACTGACTATAATGCAGACAGGACATAGGACCATGTCAGCTGACCTCTATAGAATATGGGCACATGGGCACACCAACCATGCACTCTTTAACCCTTTAACGTTCAGAAAGTTGCATAACAAGTTGCAAACAAATATTATGATCCCATGACCATATTGTTTTAGAAACAAGTAATTTTTTTTGCTAACAACTGCCTATATAATAATACTGTGACAGACGTCTCTGTCTTTGGATTACTTTTGTTTCACCTTGGTTCGTCTGTTTGTTCGGTTATTGCCCTGTCCGTACCGCCCCTATGTTTAATTCCCTTTTCACGAAAGAACTACCGAATGGCAGGCCACCCAGCAAGGAAGTGTGCTGCTTGTTAACCTTGTAAGCCCTTATTAGAACGTTGTGGTTAACCGCAGACACTTTCTACTGTCGAATGGTCGGCTGGGTGGTCGTCGTTCGTATGAACGAACACGTGGCGGCGGCCATATTGGACATTCAAACGCCCAGCGGTGTTCGTCAACAAATCTATGGAACTGAAAACGGACACTATTTTCATATGAACACCGCTGAAGTAACCGACCCTCCTTCATCCTGTTCATCGGTTCATACGAACGCCGTGCCATTCTGTACATTGACTATACGAACAGAGCCACCCCAGATAGCCATCCCAAGGAGCCCATTTGTATGACGAATATACTGTGTGAAAGACTTTAGCTCCATGGCGATTGACCTGTGTGTATGGGATCTGAGCGCCATTCTGTGATATTGTGCGCTCAGATCTAAGATACCTGGGGAATGTGGGGATTCTGTTTGGTAGTTTGGGAATTGTATATTCTTATGTGTTTTATTGCCGTTATAAAATGGAGGCTATGCTCTATCCTGAGAGGTAATTGAGTTACTTCTAGCACTTAACTCAATTACCTCCAGGATAGAGAGAAGGGTTCTGTAATATTCATGTGGTTGTATTTATGCATGTATTCATTCTGATTGGTCACTGTAAGAAATTGTCACAGTCTTCCACCAGGTCCCTATGGGAGTGTCCTTTGGTGGAAGACCTGCATAAAAGCCAGGCATGTAGCCCAGATTAAACAGATTCCTGCTTGACGCTCAACACAGAGCCTTGTCTCGTACTTGGGGGGGATTATTTGTGTGTGTTCGGCGCTTAGGAGTGTTCGGTAGCTGACTTCGTATTCGGGAAGGGAATGTCTTTGGCGGCGTTAACCCCTTCTATACCCGGGGTGCCATTACAAATACTAAATGATTTATGTGGCTTTAAAATGAGAGCTATTTCTAGATGTTGTAGAACTGGACAGATTCACAGCTTTGGATTTTTTTGAATGGCACGGAATGCCTGGTCGACGCATTTTATATATTAATCAACTTTTTTAAAGCGTATGAAAAAAATTAAGCAAAGCAGGATTTTTTTTTTCTGTATGTACGCAATGTTTCCTCAAGATATCTGGAACTCTTGCCTAATAGATTGCTTCAAAGACCAGTTTTACGCATTAATCATACAAATATTTGCCCTAGGGGCAGACATCTAATCAGCACATTTACTGCTTTAAAATTACTTGGCTATGAGGAGGATATGTTAAGAGTTGGAAGCATAAAACTAAAATAGCAAATCTTTGTGAGATCTTCATGAAACTTTAATTTGAATTTAGGATTTGTCATATACTCCACAACAATTACTTTATGTGAGAAGCAAACAATAACAGTGTAATGTACAAATTAAATCCACTTTGTCTTTAAGGCTATCATTCTTCAGGGTAAGCCAACATGCAACATTTTACTGCCACAACTTTGCTGTGGGTCTATGTCAGTAATTTCTTTAAAAACCCTCATTAATAAAATTTAATAACTAGACTGTTATTGGAAATTGTGTGGGTTCAACTATCTAGCTAAAGTAGAAGTAGAACGCAACATTCTGGTAGCCACGTGACTACCTCTGCAGCGCTACTAAATCAGGTGATCAGGTTTAGGCTGGAGTGCCGGAGGTGCCTACCCCTGTACTAAACCCATGACTGTCAATGTCAAGTTAGAAGCAATGAGTTATGAGACAATGGTGGACATAATGAGAACAGAATTAGGAGAAAGTTTTTATTGTACAAAAACATGTCAGATGTTTATTAAAAGAACAATCCAAACACCATAATCACTACAGCCTGCTGTAGTGGTTATGGTGCCAGGAGTATCCTGGCACTCCCTCGACAGTTTTAAAATGCGGACCACCTCTCTGCAATTGAAAATGAAAGCCGGAATCTCCTGTTAGGAACTTACGCCAGCTTTCCTGATCTAAGGCCAGCATTGGTGGGTTTAGCTCAGACAGAGAGCTTTTGGCTATCACTTAGCTGTGGTGGAGGCAGGGAGCAGAACACTGACAGACTCCAGGTAAAAAATCATACCGCGCACTGTAAATGTTATGAAGCTTGGAATGTTCCTGTAACCTCAAAAGGGCTGTCTCACCACCCTGATGTTGGTGTGTTCTCCAGGGAATATTCCATGTGTGTTTGGAACCTAGCAATGCTTTTGAGATCTCTGAAATATACATCTCACAATTACTATATCCTTTGTATACAGCCCCATAGAGAATGAAAAAGTTCTCTCCTAGCTCGAGAACGTCCTCTGAGTCTGTGGGTAAGTCATTTTAGTTTCGTAACAGAGATTCCTAGATCTACTCCACTGAATATTATTTAAATGTTCTTATATTTACATTGGCCATTTTAGGACAATGCTCCTTTCAGCTTGCTTACATAGAACGTTTGTGCCAAAGTGTGTGATGGGTAAATGCACTGAACTTTTTGGTCGACTTTGCATCTACGCTTTGTAATTCTATTCCACTTAGTCAGAATAAATCAAACGATACTACGTATCCAAAATTTCCCCACTGCAGAAATTGTTATGTCATTTCGCCTAGTGAACTAACCAATTGAGTAGGTGGGGACCTTGAGCACAATTGACAAATATTTTCACAGCCACTTAAAAGACAGGTTATGTGAATGAAAGATATTTCAAAGCAGTTAAGAGGAAATTCTAAGCCGAGCTTTGGAGCCTCTTTCAACAATAGAAACAATTTCTAAGTTTGAAATTCCCTGAACATCAACCTTAATTTAACCTTCCTTTTACCGTCCCCAAAACATTAATTATCTTAAGTGAAATGTTGGGTTAATTGCTTGGATAACTTAATTGGTATCTAGCTTATAGGTGTCAGAATAACCTTGGAAATAACTTCAGGTATTCAAAAAAATATATATACTTTCAGAGTATTTATTGCCCATAGTGAAAAGATAAGGTTGTGAAAAATCTCATTAATTTGGTAGTTACCTAAAGACAGGAGGACTGATCGTTGGAAACATTCTCCTTGTTGAATGGTTTTCAAATTAGCACCAGCAACTACACATACATATTAATACACATATAAAGTTTAAGGTCGAGTGCCGGTCATTTAGTTGATGCATATAATTATATGTGTGCGTATATAGTAAAAGTCTTTTTATCATTCTAATCCATTCCGTTGCATTTTTGCAGAGTTTAAGGAAGCCTTAATGACATGAAGATAGTGGTGAACCTATTAGCGATAACAATTCCAAAAAGCATGGCGCATATAACTACACTATTTTGGTTCCTTTTATTGTGGAATGTACATAATGGTAAGTAAAGAGTTGAATTTAAAAACTGAAAAAATTGTAAGCTCGTTTGTACCTATATGCACAACCGAAAATAAAGATTGACAAAAAAAATAAATAAAAATGTCATATATAAAAATATATCAAAAACATGAAAATATTAAAACATTATTTTAGAATATTTCAATCATTTGAAAAGTTTACCCAAAAATATTAAATCATTTGAAAAGCTTAGCCAACAATATTAAATCGGGGCCATACTAAGAATCCTTTATGTTTAAACATACATATACAGCAAAGATATTGAATTTTAGCATAGATAAAGGCCATGTGATAGGCCGGGTGAGAGCGTCTCAGCCTGTCACTGACCTCTACATTGGAAGGATTCCATCCTGATAATGAGAGTCTATTTTCACTTCACGAGATTACCAGTAAACATAAACAGCTGCCTATTCTCCCTACTGGAAGACAGGGCCCCCATCAGCAGAGAGAGGTCAGGCCTCATATGTTCACATATACATAGTAAGTTTTCTATCTATCTATGCACCTTTGGGGCCCCGGGCCAGTGCTCGCTAGAATAGTGAAGAGGGGCAGGGCAGGTAACTCCAGCTGCTACCCCTCGGGCAGGTTCCTTTACAGACCTCGGCTGTCAGAGCATTGCTGTCACAGCACAACACAGGACCTGCTGATGGAAGCTGAAGTCTCCTTGCCCCCCCTTATTACTTATTATTCAAGCTTGCTTGTACAATGCCACCAGACCACCATGGAATGTAGTGTCATTCCTCCCTCATCACAAGTAAAAAGCAGGGAAAGGGGAACTAACTTTAAACAAAAAAAAACAAAAAAAAAAACTATAACAAAAAAAGCTATCCCCTATCCTACACCACACATTTACACACACTGCATCTACTACACAAACACACACACTGCATGCACTACACACACATACTGCATGCACTACACACACACACACTGCATCTATTACACACATACAGCATCCACTATACACACACAGCATCCGCTACACAGATACAGTCTGCATCCACTACACACACACACACACACACACACTGCATCCACGTTACTCTCAAACACTCACCATATCCACTGTACACAGTCACATACACTACATCCTTGTGAGCGGACTCAGGGCCTGACCCTATGGGTAGACTCAGGGGCAGGCCTTTGGGGATGGGACTTGATATAAAACACTATAACCACTACAAGTTGCTGTGGTGGTTATGTTTCATTGTGTGTACCTTCAAACTATATTTATCAATAGACTCACAGGATCAGCTAAAAACCTATCAATTCTATTGGAACATATGTGATTTATTTAATAAACAGCGTGCTGACAATTGTGCTGTAAAAATGAAAGTTAAAATAATAAAAACTGCCAAGGGGGCTGTTTTGTTTCTAAATTTTGTGAGTTGGTGGTAAACTCAGTAAAACGTGTGGTTTCGTGTGACAATGGCGGTAGAGAAGGTAGAGATAGATTGGTAGATTGTCTGGTTAAGGGAATAGACTTTTCATGCATCAACCTTAGCGGCTATTCAGTTCAGATCAACGTAGTCAGAAATAAGATTTGAGAACCCTGATATTATGTGACATTTCTAATCCTTTTCCTATTTGTGTAACTGTGGTTATGTGTTTGCATATTGTGAGCGTAAAGGTGGAATAGTGGTTGATGGGAGATACATCAGACCTGATTTGCTAAACAGCAACCAGAGGATTTTTCAGTTAAATGCCCCAGGGAGAGATGTTAAAGTTTGCAATATGCATAGCTGATGCTCTGCAAAACATGGTATGGGTCCCTGGGGCGGAGTATTTGGAGAGCAGGGTGGGCCAATGCTCCAACAGCACTAGTTGCTGTATAACAGACCACAGCTTGGATCTGATTTTAAGAGTTAACTAATTGGCACTCACCTGTAGCTACTCAATTAGTAGACAGGCCTTTAAAAGAAGAGAGCAGCCTGCTGCAGAGTGAGGGAGAAAAAGACAGCTAGGAGAGATTGTGTTTATTGCAAAGACATTGCTTTTGTTTGGAAAATTGGTAAGTGGGAAAGCCACCCAATTGCAGATAGCAATTACTGTCTAGTAAGAGCTCAAGTAAGAGCAAGGGATTTTGTTTGTTTTTGTTATTATTTAAAGTACCTGCTTTCTTACTGAATAAAAAGGAAAACTGAGCTGAAGGTGTCCTGGACTTTGTATACCCTAGAAGGCTGTGGTTACTGCAAGATCGGTGACAATCCTACCTGTAAAAGAGGTGGTTTGTTACAATATCTATACGCCTCATATTAACCTTGATCCAAGACCGAAGACCTCTTTCCACATGAACAAGATAAAAGAAGGATTCAGATCTTACGGGGCCCTAGTCATGTGACTGTTTTGGGTCCCCATCCATTGTTCACGTTGGGTTAGTAAGTGGAGACCAAGCAAATTCAGCTTCCCAGGCCCTAGGTAACTCCCCAAGGCCACCTTATGGTTAAAATTGCTTTGGACAAAATGATATTAAACAATCAGCAAGCTGTTAAATTATTGCTTGTGTTTTATCTTTACAGCTCACGAGACGTCCATCGTTACAAACTTTGATTGCCTCAATGATTATGAAGAATACAGTTATTGTTTCTGGGATGTTATGAGTGCATTGAAAGTAAATTGCACCGAAGATTTCCTCCTAAAATACGAAAACGATCACACTAAGTACGTTTTATCAAATCTTACTATGATATCGCAAATAATATTGTTCAGTAAACTGTGCAACGTCAGATATTCAAATTATAGTCCAAACCTGTTAAGTTGGGAAACAAAATAACTAAGTCAGATGTTTTCTGATTGTGTTATTTAGGCCTATAGAGTTACTTCACATAGGCATTCCCACTAGCATGACTATTTCAAATCACTGAAGTGGTCATGGTGGTTGGAGTAACTCTTTAATATTTCATATTCACTTTTGAAACTAACACTCATTACCCATAATGCAACAAGACTCCCAAACTCAGAGCTAATGAAATATATGTCGGGGCCTCAGCCACAAACCTAGCATATCAGCATATAGCAGTTAAAGGACCACTCTAGGCACCCAGACCACTTCAGCTTATTAAAGTGGTCTGGGTGCCAGGTCCCTCTAGGATTAACCCTTTTTTTATAAACATAGCAGTTTCCGAGAAACTGCTATGTTTATAAATGGGTTAATCCAGCCTCTAAAGCCTCTAGTGGATGTCTCATTGACAGCCGCTAGAGGCGTTTGCGTGCTTCTCACAGTGAAAATCACAGTGAGAAGACGCCAGCGTCCATAGGAAAGCATTTTAAATGCTTTCCTATGAGACTGTCTGAATGTGCGCACAGCTCCTGCTGCGCATGCGCATTCAGCCGAAGAGGAGGAGAGGAGGCGGAGAGGAGGAGGAGAGCTCCCCGCCCGGCGCTGGAAAAAAAAAAGGTAAGATTTAACCCTTTCCTCGCCATTCACCCTCAGGGCACTATAGTGCCAGGAAAACGAGTATGTTTTCCTGGCACTATAGTGGTCCTTTAACATTCCTACTCTTATATTAACTTCTCCCAGCACTGAAGGGACTGAATGTATTAAAGTATGTCATTTTGTTTGTCTACTCGTGACATTACATAACCACTGAAAGTGGTGTAGTTGGGGAGAACACTTATAAAGACTTCAACTGCAAACTCTAGCAGGCCTGTAAACGGCAGAGGCAATCAGCTAGCCCTTAGAAGGAGTGTACCATCCCAGGCTTGTCTGCATGGAAGGCACACAGTGTAGTCAGCTAGGCCTGTTCCTTACCTTGACATCTGCTGATGTGTTGCATATGGCCTGTTTCTAGGACCTGTGTCACACAACACAATTTAATCATTTGGCATGACTGCTTTTCATTCGTGGTGTTTTTAATAATAAGACAAAATGTACACAAAATTTATAAAACAATTTCTATAGCAACATCTAAATATCTGGACCAAGGTTTGTTTTACATAGTTACATAGTAATCTAGGTTGAAAAAACAGACTCAAGTCCATTAAATTCTACGTTCACAACCTATTCCTTTATGCTGTTGATCCAAAAGAAGGCAAAAAAAGAAAAACTCCACGAAAAAACAATTTGAAGTAATTTCCAATTATCCTGTTGACTCCGTAATGGCAATCAGATTTGTCCTTGGATCAACAACCTGCTCACATAGCCTGTTTTTTTTTTTTCTTACAGTTTCAGTGATATTTGCATCCCCGAATCTCAGGTGATGGCGGATATTATATTACCCAATAAATGCATCTGCCACCTCAATATTGAAGATTATTTTGCGCCTGTTGTATTCAGCGTTGAGCTTGTGTCAAATGAAACATCTTTAAAGAAAATGGATTTTCATCTCTCTCAAAAAGGTAATGTCCATTGATTAATTCAATAGTCTGTCATATTTATTTAAAGCACATGTTACAAAAATCTATCTTACCGTATATACTCGAGTATAAGCCGACCCGAATATAAGCCGAGGCCCCTAATTTTACCCCAAAAAACTGGGAAAACTTATTGACTCGAGTATAAGACTAGGGTGGGAAATGCAGCAGCTACTGGTAAATTTCTAAATAAAATTAGATCCTAAAAAAATTATATTAATTGAATATTTATTTACAGTGTGTGTGTATATGATGAATGCAGTGTGTGTGTATGAGTGCAGTGTGTGTATGAGTGCGCAGTGTGTGTATAAATGCAGTGTGTGTATGAGTGCAGTGTGTGTATGAGTGCAGTGTGTGTGTATGAGTACTCAGTGTGTATATGAGTGCAGTGTGTGAATGCAGTGTGTGTGTGTGAATGCAGTGTGTATGAGTGCAGTGTGTGTATGAGTGCGCAGTGTGTGTATAAATGCAGTGTGTATATGAGTGCAGTGTGTGTATAAATGCAGTGTGTGTATGAGTGCAGTGTGTGTGTATAAATGCAGTGTGTATATGAGTGCAGTGTGTGTATATGAATGCAGTGTGTGTGTGTGAATGCAGTGTGTATAAATGCAGTGTGTATGAGTGCAGTGTGTGTGAGTGCGCAGTGTGTATGAGTGCGCAGTGTGTGTATGAATGCAGTGTGTATATGAGTGCAGTGTGTGTGTGTGAGTGCGCAGTGTGTGTATAAATGCAGTGTGTATATGAGTGCAGTGTGTGTGTGAATGCAGTGTGTATGAGTGCAGTGTGTGTGTGTGTGATGCAGTGTGTGTGTGTGTTGCAGAGCCTTGGTGGGGGGTGGGCATTTTTATAAAAAAAAAAAATAAAAAAATTAATATTATTTATTATTTTAATTTTTTTGGTTATATTATTTTTTTAATAATTTTTTATTATTATTTATATATTAATTAATATTATTTTAATTTTTTGTTATATTATTTTTTTTAATTATTTTTTTATTATTATTTATATATTATTAGTTAATATTATTTTAATTTTTTTGGTTATATTATTTTTTTAATTATTTATATATTATTAATGTATTTATTTTTGTCCCCCCTCCCTGCTTGATACATGGCAGGGAGGGGGGCTCTCCTTCCCTGGTGGTCCAGTGGCATTGGCAGTTCAGTGGGGGGAGGAGGGGGGCTGGCAGAGCTGTTACTTACCTCTCCAGCAGCTCCTGTCAGCTCTCTCCTCCTCCGCGCCGGTCCGTGCAGCTCTTCTGTCAGCTCACACTGTAAGTCTCGCGAGAGCCGCACTATGACCCGGCTCTCGCGATAATTACACTGGGAGCTGACCGAGGTGCTGACCGGACCGGCGCGGAGGAGGAGAGAGCTGACAGGAGCTGCAGGAGAGGTAAGTAACAGCTCTGCCAGCCCCCAGTCTGTATTATGGCAATGTAAATTGCCATAATACAGACAGTGACTCGAGTATAAGCCGAGTGGGGGTTTTTCAGCACAAAAAATGTGCTGAAAAACTCGGCTTATACTCGAGTATATACGGTAATATTGCCACATGTAAAGCACATGTGGAAAAAATCCAAGTGAACCATTGCAACCACAAAAAGACTGACAGCACATCAAAAATCCATCAAGGTCTTTGGTTTCAAATGTCTCTTAAAGGGACACCGTAGGCACTGTATCTGCTTCATCTCATTAAACTGGTTACAGTGTCTGGAGTCCCCTGGTACCATAATTTCTTTCAGCATTAAACAGTTTTTAATGTTGTAATGTTTTAATGCTAAACACAGCAGTCTATCCCCTCTGTGCTGCTTTGGCTAATACGGAGGTATTACCCTGAGCAGCAATGGGCAGCTGTGATTGGCTGAGAGTGTCAGCTGACTGCTTTTAACCTGTCAGAGCTCCAACTGACGGTATGAATGGGTATGACAACAAGGAAGTGTGTATTCTCTGCCTGAGCTACACATACAGAAGGGGCCGGACTGTGGGTGGCCAGGGACTCTTATTTTGTGGCATATTGCACAAACATGGTGCAACACTGAATGGAGGGACAGTGCCAGGCCACTCCAGGCACTATAACCAATTCAAAGAGACAAAGTGGTTATAGTGACTACAGTGTCCCTTTAAGGAGTGCTCTGATTTCCCCCATTGTAAGTAGACAAACTGGTTTTGAATAAATTGACTTCTTACCTGAGATTTACTGGGCTCCACTCCCCATCTCCACTGCTAACTCTAGACTGAGAGTGTCAGCTGATCGATCTCTGCTAATGAGCTAAGCCCTAGCAAAATACATCCATTGTCTAGTTAAACCATTCAAAAACAAGTTGTAGTGGTTTTGGTGCTTGGAAGGTTCCTTTAAGGATTGTAGTTAGCCTAAATTCCATTATTATACCTGGAAAAACAGCATCATGAGTTGTGAATTCTGAACTGTAGTGAATTCTAAATAAATCTAAGAAAAAGTTTTTAGTTTACTAAAGGGTCCCCCTAAGTACCAATTTAAATTTGCATTATTTCTGAATTTATGGGGCGGAGAGTACCCTGCACCCACTCTTAATTCTGCTACTTTGCAAAAAAAAAAAAAGCTAACCCCCGAGGCTCCAACTCAGCAAAAAAGGAATGTTTACATTCTATTTTGCTGTGTTAATGTGATACAACATGGGTATAGGTTTATTGGACGGTATCTGGATCAGAATGAGAGGGTCCTGACTGTTGGAGACTCATCCTGGTAAAGCAAGGAACAGAGGCATACATATTCATTGCATGAACCAGGGATAGATTAAAGGGACACTGTAGTCACCAGAACAACTACAGCTTAATGTAGTTGTTCTGGTGAGTATAGTCATTACCTTCAGGCATTACATTGCCTCCTATGGATACCTCCTGTGGCCACTCCTTAGATGGCCACTGGAAGTGCTTCCTGGGACTGCTCTGCAGGAAGACACTGAAATGTTCTCATAGAGATGCATTGATTCAATGCATCTCTGTGAGGAGGTGGTGATAGGCCAAAATGGTCATTGGCCCTGCCCCCATCCTGCCTCCTTGCCGATTTCAGCCAATCCAATGGTTTCCCTATGGGGAAGCATTGGATTGGCTAAAAATAGTAAATTCTGATGATGTCACTAAGGAAATGCATTTGGGACTGGGCCAACACCGGCAGACCCATGCTGCGCTGAAAATAAGGTATGTTTTAACCCTTTCTAAGGCAGCTAAGGGGGGCAAGCCACCAAAATGGTGGTTATAACACTATAGGGTCAACTATGCATGTTTGTGTTCCTGACCCTATAGGGTTCCTTTAAGCTTTAAAAAGAAAAATATGCAGAGTAAGGTAAAGAAACATACTGCACACCATAACCACTTAATTTCAATAAAGTGTTTACGGTGCTCGTTTGAGCAGGGTCCCCTTCATCATATTGTTCCTGTAAGTTTTTGCAATTGTCACATTTATGGGTAAATCTCCCACTCCAATAACATTGTAAAGGGCTACGGAATTTGTTGATGCTACATAAATGCCAATAATATTAATGGTGGCTGGAATCCCCCGGTACAACATACGGAAGTGGTTTAACACTGGATGGTAAGATGGCGCCAGTAAATTCCAGGCACCATAACCATTTCATTGAGATGAAGTGGTTGTGGTGCCTAAGGTGTATTTTTAAACAGATTTACCAATAACGGTAGATTCATTATCTTATTATATTATTTAATCTAAAGTAAAAAATTCCATAAATAAAGTTAAAGAGCGAAAGACACACAGATGTTATAGGTTATATGTAACTGCGCTTCTAAGGAATTCAATCGAATGGTGCATCCAAAGTTCATGTAAAGCTAAAATATCTAAACTTGTCTGGTAATCTACCCTGTTATTTTAACTGTTCGCTTTCAGTATATGTATTATAATCCTGCAATCTAAACGTTTTTGTGTTTTGTACGCAGTGAAACCCAAAACTCCATTCAACGTAACTGTTAAAGCAAGTGATTTAGAAAATGTTTTTGTGCAATGGGACTCTGGATGTAAAGAGGGCAACTTTGTGCGTGACATGTTGATTTATGAATTGCAGTTCACCTCCAGACAAGATCCAGCAGAGGTAACATATTTTATCAACTTGAGTATTTATAGCAAAAATAGGTTGAACGACTTTTTAACAGTCATTTTGTCTTTAGTTGTCACAAAACTACATTTCAAGTTTTAGACCACAAACGCCAAATTGGAAACATTTTTCACGTTTGCTCTTTTGCTTAATAGTTTGAAAACCCTGATAATGTTACAAATATTTAGAATAAGACATAGCTCTTTAACAAAGTGTGAAATGAAATAGTTACAGTTTATTACACATTAGTAAATGTCCTCCTAAAATGGACTCAAATTAATATGTTTGGATCAGCATTTCAAATTATCTAAATCTGTTAGAAAAACATTTCAGATTATCTATCTCCAAACAAGGCTGAAACGATTGTCTGGGGTTGCTGTGCAGAGGGAACTTGCTGGCATTTCGGATCTGGACTGCCCGTATGGGTGGGACCAGTCTGATATGTTTCAGAGATGTTGCCTCTGTAATGGTACAAGATGAGCTAAACCCACCGAAGGGCAGGCTATTTCAGCTGCTGCCTGTTCTCAGTTTTCTCTTGCGACCTGTTTTTTGCTCTATTTATCTCCAAAACTTCTCATGCACTCTAGAGGAACACTACTGTGGTAGGAATACAAATATGTATTCTTAAAGCCATAGTAACCCCCCCCCCTACTCCTCCCCCATTTGCAATAAAACAAAAATGTTACTTCTCAACTCTTTCCTTTTGTGCTGCTCACCTCTCCACCTCATGCGATGTCAACGAGGAGACATGACCTTGTCCATGATGGTCCAATTCAAAGCTCCTTATAGAGGAGCATTATGGACCTAATTTACTAAAGCAGCGAATCAATGCTTTTTTATGGGGCCCTCACCATCGCGTGCAGAAGCATGACAGCCCCTAGAGGTGCATTTAATCCTGCAATGTAAACATTGTAGTTTCTAAAAATAAAAAAAAATAATGTTTTACATTGCAGAGTTAAAAAGACAGGACCACCTTGAGATACAATAACTTCTATGGACAAATCACATGAAAAGTTTTTTCTAACAGATCTCGATCAGTTAAAATACTGATCCAAACCAATTACATCGAGGCCAGCATGTCGGACAAAGAGACAGACTGAGGCTTCTGAATAAACAGAAACTCCAGTAAAATTGCTGAAAGTAATCTCTACCAAGAATAGAGCATTCTGATGGAATTCTGGTTTCTTTCACCATTGTTCCATAAGATCACTCTACTCTTTGAACTTAGCCCTAAAATGACTTTTTATAAATAACTCCTAATAATTTCCTACATTTGCCTTTCCAGGTGAAAACTACTAGTTCAAGTGAAGGGAAGACATGCTACGAAATTGACAAGAGGCAGTTCAAACAAGGACATGATTATATGGTTCAAGTCAGGTCTAAAGTCAGACCAGTTCCTATAGGTTACAATGGAACCTGGAGTGAATGGAGCAGCGAGGCTGAGTGGCATAATGGTAAGCTTACTAAAGGCATTTATAGAGGCAAGGGATACATTTGGGGAAACTAAAATGAAAATATTCAAATTGTAATTGAAATAACCATAACTGAAATATTTTTTCTTATTAAAAACAATATATATACACTAATCAACCACAATATTAAAACTACCTGCCTAATGTCGTGTAAGTCAGTTTCATGCTGCCAAAACAGCTCGGATGCGCCGAGGCATGGACTCCACAAGACCTCAGAAGATGTCCTGTGGTATCTGGCACCAAGACAACAGCAGCAGATTTTTTAAGTCCTGCAAGTTGCAAGGTGAGGCCTCCATGGATTGGATTTGTTGATCCAGCACATCCCACAAATGCTCAATCAGATTGAGATCTGGGGAATTTAAAGGCAGAGGCAACACCTTGAACTCTTTGTCATGCACCTCAAACCATTCCTGAACAATTATTTCAGTGTGGCAGGGTACATTATCCTGCTGAAAGAGGTCACTCCTATCAGGGAACACCATTGCCATGCCAGCATCATGTTTTACAGCAATTTGAGCTACAGTAGCTCTTCTGTGTGATTTGACCAGATGGGCTAGTCTTCCATTCCCCAAGTACATCAATGAGACTTGGGCGCCCATGACCCTGGCGCCAGTTTTCCTTTTTTCCATCACTTTTGGTAGGTAAACCACGGCACACTGGGAATACTCCACATGACTTGCCGTTTTGGAGATGCTCTGACCCAGTCATCTAGCCATCTAGCCATAACTAATTAACCCTTGTCAAAGTCACTCAGATCTTTTCTCTTGTCCATTTTTCCTGCTTCCAACACATGAAATTCAAGAATTAACTGATCACTTGCTGTCTAATATATCCCACCCCTTGACAGGTGCCATTGTAGCTATATAATCAATGTTATTCACTTCACCTGCCAGTGGTTCAAATGTTGTGGCTGATCAGTATATATATATATATATAAATATCAATATCAGCATTAGAACCTTTCTTTTTATACATTATTTTGCTTTCACACATTTCTCCGTTTCCTCTTCTGCTGATCCACTCTGTTAAGTTTCCTCTGTCTCCTTATGTCATCAAGAAAAAAAAAATAGCTGACCTCCAAAGTCATTTACAGCTCTGCTCTATCTTAGATCTCTGCTCTTTTTACTATTTGTAACCCCATTTGGCACACCACTCTGACATGCAACTCTATACTCTCATGTACAATATTGGACCCCAGATAATTGACAGGTAGGTGTCCAGTTATTAACAATATGTCTTTTTTTATGAAGATGTTACCCCATGGTTGCTGGAGAGCCACTTGCTTGGAAGCTTCCACACTATTGTACCCATAGAGTGTGCTGTTCATGCAGACATTATTAACTGCTTATTGAGAAATTCAATTTCTGTTCTGACTCTTTTTGTTTGTTTGTTTTGTTTCATAATTTCCCATTGATTCATGTTGGGTCTTCACCCTCCACTGCATCAGCATCAGATAAAGCTGTTTGTGCGGCAAGACGTGATGGTATTCATTTCAGTCTGTATTACTATGTAGCTATAACCATTTTCTAGAAAATATTGTGGTGTTGTGAAGAAATACAACAAAAGACAAAAAAGGAACTAAAAAAAACAGGAAATACTGAACTAAGAATTAACTCTCAAAAGTAGTTTTTTCAACAAAATACAAATACCAGTGAACAAAGAAAATACGCGGCCATGCCCACTTTAAAAAAAACAAAAAAACAACTAGCAGACCAAGCCTAAGAGCACACTAACCCATTGTTTACAGCCAATACAGCATAATGTAGTTTTTATGATATAATGAGACTTTGCTGTAGCCCTCCACCTTATTATGTCAGTTAGTGGCCTCAAAAGCATAAACAATGATTCAGGAGGGTGTTTAGTGACTTCATGGGTACAAGCCCCAATTGCCAAGACAAACTAATCTGTTCGTCCATTGTCTATTTAATTTGTTTTGTGATAATCCATATGGCATCCCGCCAATTGCCCAAAACTGCAACTCACAAGTCTACAAAATAGATGTTCTCCATCTTACCTTTATGGTATTCCTCCCACAGGAGTATATTATACCGTGTGAAAAAAGGATGTGGACACAGCAAATTACATGAAAAATTCCTCTGATTATTTATCGTAGTACAAAAAAAACTATATTACGATTGTGAGCTGATTGATATCCTCAAATAGCGGCAAATAAAGTGATTCTTCCATAACAAACTTATATATAACTTAATGTCATCTAGCTATAAACATACAGTATGCAAAGATGCCTTCTCACTTAACAAGAGAAACATTATTTAAACAGACACAATCACCGTTTTAATGCTTCCGTAAAGATTTAGCACAGGCTGCCATTTTTGGTGACATATAAAATGATACCCATATAAATTTACAATTTACAAACAGAATGGGGGCTCGGAGAAATCTGCTGTAAGGGCAGTTGGCTGCCTATGGGTCACATGGCATATAGAAATCATCTTATCAGTTATGGACCAAAGAGGGACTGTGTGCGATAGGCATTGCGCAAGCTATGTTTAGCACTTTGTGTGTTATGGACAGTGTTTACCATGAAGCTCGGCTAAGCTAATGAGAATTTCTGAATTTCTTGACCATGTGCCATAAATACTACGTGGCGCACTTCTGCAGAAAACAAAATAAAAACATATAGATTTTTACGTATCTGGAACTTGGGATAATTGCAGTATTTGGGCCTGGAGCTTCATCTCTAGCAGCCCCTATGTTATTATGCCCAGATACTTACTCAAGCATTGATGGGATTGCTGCAGAGGTTTTAGTATACTTAACGCAGAGATGATTGCATTAGTGTAGGAGTCCATTGTGTATCATATCCTTTTCTGATTATGGCTATTGCTACAACTGTCAACTGATGCAGTTCAGACAGGATTCCCAGTCCAGTGATTCACATTTACATTTTGCAGACTAGTTGCTAGGTTTTACCCTCCATATTCATTGTGCAAGTTTGGGCATCCTATAGTTCACTTTAGAGAAGTTATTTTTTTTTCTTTGAAATAAAGCAAACATATTTATTTATAAGCTGTCTCTTCCGTTATTCTCTACATTCCGTACAGTAATTTTGCTTTAATCCCATTAACTCATACTTGTTGAGTTGTGGCCCTTCCATCTTGACTTCCAGTCAGCCATTTTGTGAGCTCTGTCCTCATTTTATCGTAAAAAATGGCAGCCTTTGTACAGCTCAGTAAGCAAAAAGATCTTACCACAAACTTGCATCATGGAGAAGGAACTTTGTAATAATCAGGAGGAATCATAGAAAGTGATGGAGAGAAAAAAAAAGAGAAAACAGTTGCCATCGTGGTTATTAGTGAATTTGTGTTTTCTCTTGTTCATTTTTAAGTAAACTTAACAAAATTGGGAAAAACATGAAGGATAGTGGAATGAGCTTACACTATGCTAATTTAATCTACTGCAACATGAAAGGTATGTCAACAAATGGTAACAATTGGCGGAGCCTGACAGCCAAGCAGAGCAGTCGCACAGTAAATGGGCTCCTGGGCTGAAAACCTAAAAACAACTAAAGCTACCAAAATTACCTACATACAACTGGCTTTTCAGCCCCAGTAACAGAGGTATGCAATGGAGACAACGCTAACTCGAGACCCTGAGCAACACTGGCGACCGCATCCAGAGGAGGGATCCAAGGCCTACCTGCGGCCTATCCGGGCGGCATGGGGGAGACGACCGATCCCCCAGCCGGCTGGGGCCCGTTACGCCGGGGGCCTGTCCAGAGCATCCTCTTCCCCCCCACCCACCGGTGGGGGTTATCCCGGCAACCAAAGCAAGTAACCTAAAGCAGAGGTACCAACTCCAGCATACAGACACAGCCGGGCCATCGACGCCCAAAATGGCGGACGCCATGAGGGATCAAGCACCCGAGTTCATCCTGCTCCCACTATCGGAAAGGATGGACCGACTTTTGGCGGACTTCTGGGCAAAAATAGACAGCCGCAGGGGCGACCCGGAGGGGGTCCCACTGGCGTCAGCTCCATGGGACTCCACAACGAAGCCTACACAGACGACACAGACCCAGAGGGAGACCAGGAAAGCAGCGAGACGGAGGCGGGAAACCCGATGTAGGCCTCAGCACTCCAACCCTCGACCACGGGTGAGTCGCCCAAAGCCTAAACAGGGGCTCACCCTGGGACCCCCCCAGCACAGCAACCCTCATAAGCGCAAGCAGAAACAGGGGCCTTATATAACATCGGGCAATCACTCACCTCAACGACCACCACTCGCTCCTCAGCAACAGCCAGCAGCTCAGACAGAGCACAAAGTTGTAAGATGGCGGCGGAGGGCTCAGCACTCACCTCTCCCACGCAAAGCTAGAAAGCTGAGGAGATCAGTGGAGCCAAGACCCCCTCAGGTGCCCAACGCAACAGGGGTGACACCGCTCCAACGGCACGGCCCAGCAACTATACACGGAAAACACCGCCCCAGGTATGCAGACAAGGCCTCCAGAACAGGCATTGGCTGAAGCAGACTGGACTGACACGTTGCACGGCTCACAGCCTGTGACCCTGCTCATAATGCAGAGACTCATTACCCGGAGGCAACAAAAATTTACTAATTTTTTTTTTTTTTTTGTGAATATGATTTTTATTTTCATCATATAACAAGAGTTAGTCAACTGTATGCATTCTGGGACCCGCAGGTCTCCATTTATAGGGCAACTGGTGAGACGCGCAGGCCTCGGAATCATTTATTTGTGTTCGGTTTCCGAGTTTACTAATTTTAAATGTGTGACCAGAAGCCCAGTATATTTATGTTTCCCTCTCTTATAATATCATAATAATGTCTCCTGAATCCCTCCTGTATAGATGAAAATGTATGCCACTCATAACTCTTACCTTGCATGTTGTGGTTACTTTTGTTTATTCTTAGGGAAAAGTAATTTATTTATTTTTTTCCTTATTCATGTTTTGATAACTACTAGCTGTCTGCCTCTACTTAAATGTACTTACATACAACACCACCTGGGGGGGCAACAACATACCAGCAGCTGGCGTGGGCTGACTCCTGAGATTTTTTTAAGTTAACTGTCCTATTTATGCCAACGTACTCACTGTTAGACAGCCTAGCACAGTTGATTTTACCAGTGCCTTATAGTTTTTGGTTCTGCCTAATGTGTCCCCTAGCGTACCTTTATGATGCCTCTATATGCCTTAGTGCCACCATGATCTACTCTGTCTTAACAAACAATATGTCTAATATCTACCAAGCCTAAATACCAATGTTTAATCATAAGATAGGAAGTAGCTCAGAAGTGTTACCTGATCTGCCATCACTAGCCCATGCCAAATGGTGACACCTTCCATGCAAATATAATAATCTATCGTATAAGCTGTGTTTAAAGCCTTGACTAGCTAAACAATTCCTGCTAAATGTTGAACAACTATGTTTTTACCTGTTATTCATATTATAAAATGTGCAAGTTTTTCCTGAGTGCCACGATGCCCATACAAACCAAGCACACTCAGGTCATAGATGTATACCTAAGCGAACTCGGACTGTTTATCCTAAAAACGCATTGCTCTGTCTTTTCAACACCTATGTCATTAAGCATACTTGAGGTGCTTGCCAATGTTGTTGGGGCACGACGAGTTATTCTGTTATATGTCATACATTGCACAACAAAATAAAGAATTTAAAAAAAAAAAAAACAGGGAAAGTAAGGGATAGCATCAATAATACAAACCTGAATATTGTGGCTAAAATCATGATAGATTTCACAAGCTATGTGGAAATCAAATCATATTGCTTTCTTAGATACCAGCTGTTCTCAGTACAGATAACTTGAAAATGTAGAAATAAAATTGCAAGAGCAAAAAACAAAACAAAAAAAAACCAAATGGTAACAATCCAATGGAACAGTATTTGTGTTCCCTTTAGAGATGAGGACTCCACGTTCTACCTCTTGTGTTTTAAGATTCTGCAAAAATCTTTACTGTTATGTCTTATTTGTCATATGTTAATATCTTATTTTCCCTGTTCGTTTTCTTTTCTGTACTCCACCCTTGTTAAGATCTTAAAAAATGTAAAAAAAACAACTCAAAGAAGAGAAAGATAAAAAAAAATAATAAACTGCAAAAGAAGGAGGCCACCTGTCCAACTTGCTTACATTTTATTTCTCAGGACGCTAGGATACATTAGCTTCTTTCAAAAGTGGAGGTACAAATAGATACTTAATATAATTAAGGAATAGTTCATGGTATAATTACCTTGCTTCTTAACAGGTATACCCAGCTGGGTAACATTTATATATAATCGTGATTCTCATTTACTAATGATAGCTTGAATGTATCTGTGTGCACAGACGTATATTGAACGTTTACTTTTCTAGACATGTCTCACATTTAAATTTCGAGATATTCACATGGTTATGACATTTATTCGAAAAGTGACAATGGGAACTTTATGATCTGATACACACGCTTATCTAGCTGACTGTAAAGCAAAATTACTAAAGATCTTGCACCAACTCACCCAATTTCCCCATTTAACTATGGTGTACACAACATAATCTCTAATCTACAGCTGTTACAATAGGATCTTGCATTTTCTTTGTTCAGTGCCACTGACGCCCTGCGGTTTTCTGACGCATTTTGTGGTCAGTGTTTTGATCATAACGTGCACTTGGCTAATATCAAATCTGTCAGCTGTTAAATGTTTATCTCACTTTTGCTATGCACAATATAGCTGTCTAAAGTTATTTTTTTTATAAATTTTTAAGAATCAGTATTTGGTTCTATTCATTTATACCTATATATCAATTATATTGGCAACCTGATAGCATCATTCATTTTCCAGTACCAAATATATGCAGGTGGTAAACTAAGTTTTCCATTCCTCTAATGATTTTTTTAACACAAGGAATATATAAGCATTTTATAAAAAATTATAATAATAATAATGTGTTATATCAATTTACCTTTCTGAAATCTATTTTTGGATGTCTCATAACTACTGTAATTTATACTCTTTAAATCCTAACCTCACTAATCACCTTATCATCTTATATTTAATCTCATTTACCTGCAAAATATGTGTTTAGGCTCCAAAAAAACAGTGTCTTTCTAACAAGGACAATTTATTCTGCATATTATTTAGGATTGCAATAATTTTTTGCATATATTGTATCTCTATTTTTGACCACCGTATACCATTATTGGGGCATTTTATGGAACATGATCTATTATTCTATCATTATGATAAAGAATGAGCAAAACACGTGATGACAGATCCTTCAATCAAATCATTACAAAGTGTCATTTACCACATTTCTCTGCTCCACATGCTTGTAACGCAATCCAAACTTGCAAACATTTTTTTTCTTAAAGGAGCACTATATGATTAGGAACACAAATGTGTATTCCTGACCTTATAGCGTTAAAAACACCATCCAGCCCTCCTGCCCCCCTCCTCCCTAAACATAGTAAAAAACTTACTTTTACTCTACTCTGTGGCTGCTGACTCTGCCCTTGATCTGCCTGCTTGACTGACTTTATCAGATGTGATTCCCTGAGACAATACCAATGCTTTCCCATAGGATTGGTCAAAACTGTTAAGGTAGCCGATCAGGGGCAGAACCAGCACAAGCCAAACACAGCCCTGGCCAATGCATCTTTATGAGGAAAGTTCAGTGTCTCCATGCAGAGGGTGAAGACACTGAATGTCAGTCACACTGTGCAGCACTGCCCCAGGAAGCACCTCTAGTAACCATCTGGGGAGTGGCCAGTGGGTGTGTCCCTAGGCTGTAATGTAAAAACTAAATTTTCTTTGAAAAGACAGTGCTTACTGCAAATAGCCTGAGGGGAATGATTATAATCACCAGAACAAACACGATAAGTTGTAGTTATTCTGGTGACTATAATGTCCCTTTAAATTTCTCAAATTTGAGTCATTATATGTTGGGTCAGGGTTAATTGATATTGGTGCTATAGTTAATCATTTGGTCTCGTCAATAACTGAATTGAGGGCTGGTGCCCACTAGATCCTTACGTTTTTGTTTTGGCTTGCACTTTATCCACGATCCTACTGCATGTAACACATTACATTTTTGCTTTAGACTTTTTGCTCTGCATATTATTACTGGCACTTATAAAGAACCAACATTTTTCACAGTGCTGTACTATAATGGGAGAAAAACACAACAACAAAAATGTACAATTTACACAATACAATATACATAGACTAATATAAAAGAAAACTTTAAAAAAAAAATCTAAAATGTTCTTTTTGGGCATATGTTATGTACCCCATATTATACAGAAAGGAGTGAGTGTTTACAAATTAGTTGGTTTTAGTTGGCCTTTTTACATAGGTTCACTATCAATATCAATATTTTTAATAGGTCAGGTCTTTTTTGTTGTTGTTGTTCACAGTAGATCTTAACCCATGGGTCTGAATGCATATTTGGGCTCCGAATGCTATTTCGATGAGTGCTCACTGGCTTTAACAATTTTATTATATAAATAATTTCCAACACAACTGTCCTAAGTAAGTTGTCTTATTGAGGGGACTCATACCCAAAAAATGGTTAAGAACAACAGGCCTGGAAAAAGCATTCTCGTGTATGTAAAATGATCAGTGGGATGTGTTATGTACCTATTATTACATATATCTCTGTGTTGTTATCTAACACGTTCTGGATGTTATATAATACGTATACAGTGTATCACATAGTTTTGTGTACAAGGAAAGCACAGTTTTATAAACTTTACATCCTTGGGCACTTTAAGTAGTGCTAGAAATTACTTACCAGCAACTATACAATTTGATTTTAATCTTCTACTTGATTTAACAAGGATAAACTTTGTACAGAATAGTTCACTGCCTTCAGAATGCAGATACATCAATAGTTTTGCCCTTTCTTTCAATTGTTTTATTACATTATTGCTCTTTTTTTTTTTTAATTGATCCTTTTCTGAAACCTGGCTACTTACAGTAAATATCCTAGTACAGGGGTAGGCACTCCAGATGTTATGGACTAAATCTACATAATGCTGGCAATGCATCAAGGGAGATGTAGTCCACAGCACCTGGAGTGCAGAAGGTTGGAACTGCTTAGTAAATTCACCCAATCCTAATTATAATCCGGCCAAATCCTGATTTCTGTTTAATTTAGAATTATATGTATACACTGCAAACAGTTTGTAACATATATAAAGTAGAAATACAATTATATACAAAGTAGTGTATTTATATAAATGTATTGGTTGTTTTACAAATTGTATCTTAATTTTGTTTCTCTCCCTCTCTCTTTCTAGAGTATAGCCTCTCTTTGACTGACCAACTGCAGATTTTTATCCCAACTATTTGCATATTGATCATAGCTATAATTGTAGCATGCAAATGTGCTGTTCATTTGTAAGTATGCAAGTCAACTTTGTAATAATAATGGGGAGTCTCATGAAAAGGAACATCGGGGGTTAGGTCTAAACTAAACAGCAGTTATCAGGATAACTTCTAAAAGTGGAGCAATCTTTTAGAAAATTCCACTGGTTACATTGGTGATTGAACCACTTTTACAAGTTTGAATATTCAATACAATGTGGCACACTGTACTGTAATAGTTAAGAAAACAGTGTCTGTATTTATGCAATCTATCTTATCAGAAGACATTTGGGCTTCACCACCTGTTCCATTTTAATTGTTTTATGCAGCCAAGCAGGTGCTGGTTAGATTATTTTCTATAGATACTATGTTTATCAACTATCCTCTTTTGGATTAAATAGGAAAATTAATTTTTGAATTCAGCATATATCAGTATTACTGATGTTATTTTTATATGGACATTAGTGGTAGAGGTTAACACAGTAAAGGAGTTTAAGCATGCGTGGGATAGGCATAAGGCTATCCTAACTATAAGATAAGGCTAGGGACTAATGAAAGTATTTAGAAAATTGGGCAGACTAGATGGGCCGAATGGTTCTTATCTGCCGTCACATTCTATATGTAGTAGGCTTTTATAAGTGCATCTAACATGGAATATATGGGGCATTTCATGCAGATAACTTCTCACATTATTTTTGCTTAGATTTTTGAATCTGCCAATGCTGATTCGCCATTTCTTTTAATAGAGACGGTCAACAGTATTCTATAAAGGGAGAATTGTTGGGAATTTAAAGGGAATGCAAATTGAATGTCAAATAATAAAAAAAAATTCAGCATAGTTTTTTTAACAAGAAATTTGACATTTGAAATGTAAAGTAAAAGTTGACAAACTGGAACCATGGCTGATTTGAACAGCTTTCCTTTTGAAAGGCCACCCTAGTGAAGAATGTGTTGTCAGTCCTGTTACTTCCTGGTTTGTTTAGCTCAGTTGAGCTAAACTCAAGAGCCAGCAGTTGCCCAGAGAACCTGCCTTGCAAAGACTTCTCATTGAACTGCATTGGGAAGTCTGTGATTGGACAGCCACCAAAGTTTTGGGCAGGATTAGAAGGGAGGGCTTGCAAACTCTGCAGGCAAGAGATCTGCTGCTTTTGCAAGTTGTTTTTAGATATAACCCAGTTAAAAAAATACATAATTAAATGTATGCATGATTTCATAGGAGGTATATCTACTAAACAGTAACTTTTATTCTGTTTTGTATTTTGGCAGTGGGGTATACCTTTAAACTAATTTGGCCTTAAAATGTGAAAAATCACTTTGCACTCCTGACAATTCTAATTGTAGTAAATAATCCTGTTAGCATGTGAACGGTTTTTAGGAAAGTTTGGGAGCCTGAGTGTAGCACACTTTTGAAAATGAGAAGATTATTGCACTAACAAAATTTGTGTGTGGTTCCTCATTGGAAACTAATTGCTAGTTTTATCTAATACCCAATGATGAGAGCTAGATAAATGAGATAAAATTACAGGAAGCTGACACTGTATGTTGTTATAATTAAGCAAAACATTAAAACAAAGAGAACGATGTAACTGGTAGTCAGGGCCGGACTGGGATGAAAATGAAGCCCGGGCAGTTAATGGCAGAGCAGCCCACTGAGGGACGGGGCGAAAAAGGGATTGTGTTAATTGTGTGTGTATGCGTATATAGAGTAGTGTGTGTAGAGTGTGTGTGTGAATGCATGGGGGTGTGGTATGTATAAGGGATATAGAGTGTAGTCATAAAGGTACAACATTAAATGCATACAATACAATATGTATAACCTATTATTGTTCATGTTCAACAACACAACAACATACTAGAATGAACAACAGCTTGCACCTTGTGTTTTTGTAATTTATGAATGGACACAAGGTCAGGCAAGCACAGCTCTCTGTAGATCTCCATAAAATAAGAGAATGTAAGCGTAAGTTATAGGAAAATCGTTTATACTGTTAAAGTCCCTTTTCCTGATCTAAAGCATTCACTGAACAAACTCATAATGGAATGGGGACTTGTCAGCATTTGCCTGGATCAATTATGTCTAACATGGGCACTTCACTTGTTATTGAGCTACATTTTAGTAGTTGGATCAACTTCTTGAGAAACATAACAGGAATAAACCTGCTTTATTCCTATAACATACAGAGCAGTAAAAAAAATCACACACACAACACAGCACTTTGATCTGATATAGAACTTATGTTTATTCCACCATCCATGGTAGATTTTCGACTAGAGTCTTTGATAGACTGATAAAGAGGTCTACTGCCAGGTCTACTCTAAATAGTGGAGTAAAGCTACATTGCTTGATATATAGATAGTTCCTGAACTCCAGTGCCAAGTTTAGGCTAGAACATTGGTGTACACATCCAACCAGAGAACTAGCGTTCTCTGGAATCCAGCCCAGCAGGCGCCCGTCATGCAGCAACTTGAATCAACTATTTTCTTGTAGTTCATAGACCAACATAAATTGATAGAAACTCATTTTAAATGAACATGAGGCAAAGATCATAATTTAAAGGGCAGTACATGCAGTGCATAATGAATATACCAATAAGGTGGTTGAACAAATTTCTGTGTAATTGTCCTAATTGCATGTTAAGCCATAACAAATCAGTCAATTTATGATAAAACTGAAAAAAAAAATGAATGGAAGATACTGCCGTTCGCTGTTTTAATGTAGCATGAGGCCGGTGACGAGCAGCTAAAACTGCACTTTATTTCCAAGGTAGCTCTTTTTTGCTCTTAAATACTTAGATTAGTAATTTTAATAGCAGTGTGTGTATAATCTCACATTCAAATCTCACCCTCCTAACAGCAAACATTGCATAACATGCTCCAGGGTAGACAACTTGTTTATCACATGTAACATTGAGGTTTTAAACAGATGGTTTATCACAAATTACATTGTCCAATTCTGTTATCATTTAGTTTTTCGATTTCTATAGAATAACCTTCCAAAACATTGAATTGCAACCCTTTAACAATTATTGGTGTAAAAGTCTACAATTTTCAAAAACTGATAACTGCAATCCAAAGATTTTCATCGCCCCACCTCTAAAAAATATTTGGATTGACTATACCTTTGAATTTGAAAGCAAACTTAATAGTTAAACCAGTTGTAGATTTGCTAATGTTGCATGCAACAGAATTAAATGTTTTTAATCTTTATTTTTTGATAGTAACTTTGCTATGTTTTTCTTTACAGCTGTAAGAAAAACTGGTTGGACCGAATCCCAAATGTTAAAAAATCTCAGTTGGCTCAAAGCAAGCTATTTACTATCCAGGTTAGTTCCTTCTGATAGAAATACAATAGTGGTTCACACTCAACCATGTGATATATATATATAATAGTTATCAAAATGGGCTGCTTTCCCCTGGTCCCATAACTTCTGTTGTCAGATTAAGGTTTTATTGCAACTAAGTGATTTCCCAAGGTATTAGTTAGTCCCTGTTAAACATTAACACCAACAGGCCTTTGACCTACTCGTCCACACTTATACTACTTTTTGAAAGCATTGCCGTTTACCCATGAGCCACGAGTAGTCCAAAACTTGCCATTAGATAAAACTATGTGTAAAGACAAATATAGGGATACAGAAGATCCGAGAGGGTATAAGAATAAAACCAAGTAATAATGTGATACCCCCTAACACCACTGCAGGCGCAGAGAAAATTTGCACTCGCAAACACAAACAAGTTATAAAGAGCCTTCAATCAAATCCACAGTTCCTCATGGTTTCAATGTGTAAAATCCCAAGCTGATAGGGATAACCTCTGCATAATAAAGAGCAGAGCAAACAGCACGGGACGCCAATATAATAAAAACAGAGCATTTATTTATATGTAACTTAAAGCCAATTAAAAGAGCAAATAAACAACTTTACCAATGTTCACTGCCCAACGCATTTCATTTCCCCTAACACCACCACAGGTGCATTGAAAAGTTGCACTCCCAAAACACAAGTTATAAAGAGGTTCCAATGTGTAAAATCTCAAACTGGATATGGGGAGCCCCTGTATAATGAAGACGCATTATCAGATTGAGGGCTTCATTGTTGTTAGACACGGAGCTCCAAAGGAAGTCACCTGGGGTGATGAAATGCGTTGGGCAGTGACTATTGGTGATCTCACGATTGGTGAAGTTGACTATTTGCTTTTTTACTAGGATCTGTTGTATCCCTATATTTGTCTTTATACATACTTACTTCTAATGGCAAGTTTTGGACATCGAGTTTTTAAAAGTAAATTATTTCAATTCAATTGCTTGTTGGTGTTTATATTTAACAGGAACTGATACATTGAGAAACAAGATACATAAAACTTTAACAAGTTACTGGTAAACTAAACCATGAACATGTATATACCACATAAAAACAGATTACATGTTCCTTGGAATGCAACTGTTTTAGTTACCTTTACTATTAAGTCTAATGGATATCTGTGTGGCCATTTTGTCTCATCCAGCTGTCCTAAAAATGTGCCCCCTTGTGGGGACATTTATATGAACATCACAAAAACCCCAAAACTTTGTTACCATGTGTGGGCACAACTAAACTGCATCACTAGAATGTTTTTAAAAACATGTTAAATTGTAGGGATTGTATTTACTAGAGTCAAGGTCAGAAGTGGGAGTGCAAACAGAATTTCTATTGACTTACTCTTGTCCTGTCCAGTCAGTCCCAATAGTGATAATCACAAAAGGGATAAAGGGCATATTTGAGGAAAACTTTGGGATAATAATATATGATTCATTGCATTACTGCTCAGTGTGTAACAATATTGTGTAATTTTAGTAGTACTGTGTTGTATTATAGTGCATTCCATTGTAATTTTCCATTTTTTTTATTAAGTAAAATACAGTATACATTTTTTTTTTTTCTTGAGACACTGTTAATGTGATGTACATCCACTTCTGAACATTAATGGAAACCTAATGTTAATATCAGGCTGGTAGAATTCAGCACCCTCTAAAAATACTAAATGCCTACTTAATGTCTCGTAGTAACATAGTGGATTATATACAGATCCCTGATTCAGCCCCATAAAGTCCTTAAACCAATCAGAACCCAAGAAAAGACGACAATGATGGCCTCTCATCTAGGGCACCTGGCTCACATGTCCCAATTCAATGTTAATGGGTGATATATTCAAGATGTACAGTTAGGATATCTGAAGTGCAGCTGCTCACACCTTCCTAATAAATGAGTGAGTCAGTTTATAATGTGGACATATGGGAGGGCAAACTTCAAAACTGTAATCTTTCAAGTGACAGACATTCCATTTTTAAGCACAGTTACCTCTTAAAGGTATATGCTTGATAGATTCTATTATTGCAAACATTATCTGTTGTGGACCTTATGGTCTTATTTTAGGTATCTCATCATTAGGCATTGGTTGGGAAATAGGGACTAATATTCTCCCTTATTGCTTCATATTGTACTGTTACGAATTATCTTTTTGTGGAGTTCAGGTGTTTGGGCTGCTGTGTTTGCACCACTGCCATCTCTGAACTAGCCTCATCTGGTGTTACCAGAGCAAACTGAACATGGAAAAGGAACGTATTTTTTGTTTCATTATGCAACACAATAGGTGGACCGTACTGCAAAAGTGCATACAATATGCATATTCTCTAATACATGCTTGTATCAGACAAAGAGAACATATGACCTTCTAGGATTATATGGATTTAAAGAGTAATTTAAAATGGTGACAGTCTGCAACAAACAAACAAATAAAATCTATATAACAAATAAAATCTGTATAACAAACAAACAAACAAACACAGTCTATATAACAATCAAACAAATAAAATCTATATAACAAACAGATACAATCTATATAACAAACAAACAAACACAAACAAACAAATACAATCTATATAACAAACAAATAAAATCTATATAACAAACAGATACAATCTATATAACAAACAAACACAATCTATATAACAAACAAACAAATACAATCTATATAACAAACAAATAAAATCTAATCTATATAACAAACAAAAAATCTATATAACAAACACAAACAAACACAAACACAATCTATATAACAAACAAACAAATACAATCTATATAACAAACAAACAAATACAATCTATATAACAAACAAATAAAATCTATATAACAAACAGATACAATCTATATAACAAACAAACAAACACAATCTATATAACAAACAAACAAATACAATCTATATAATAAACAAATAAAATCTAATCTATATAACAAACAAAAAATCTATATAACAAACACAAACAAACACAAACACAATCTATATAACAAACACAATCTATATAACAAACAAATAAAATCTATATAACAAACAAACACAATCTATATAACAAACAAAAAAAATCTATATAACAAACACAAACAAACACAATCTATATAACAAACAAACAAATAAAATCTATATAACAAACAAATACAATCTATTCAACAAACAAACAAATAAAATCTGTATAACAAACAAACAAATACAATCTATATAACAAACAAACAAATAAAATCTATATAACAAACAAATACAATCTATATAACAAACAAATAAAATCTATATAACAAACAAACACAATCTATATAACAAACAAACAAATACAATCTATATAACAAACAAACAAATAAAATCTGTATAACAAACAAACACAATCTATATAACAAGCAAACAAACACAATCTATATAACAAACAAATAAAATCCGTATAACAAACAAACAAACACAATCTATATAACAAGCAAACAAATAAAATCTATATAATATATTAGTAAAAGTAAGATTCTACCATAATTTGTATTGGCTTGAAGTAAATTTCTATTGACTTGAAATTGTTATTGAAGGTTTTTAACACATACAAATTAAGTCTCATTTGACTTTATTTTGTTGTTAAATTGTTTTAATTACCCCAGTAGGACATTATGGGTAAAATGGGCGATGGAGAAAATCACAAACTCACTTCCACTGCAGGAATTCAGTTGCGGGCATCCGCAACTTGTAATCATGGTCTGGCGATCCCTTTGTTGCTTGCCCACTTGTAAATAGGCCCACAGCCAACTGACAGGGGTAACATTTCAGAAACCTCAACCTAAACTGTTTAAATGCATAATGTGAGGTAGGGCTTCATCTCAATCAACGTGTATGTACCTTTTAATTTGATCAAACTAAAGTAAAATTTAGTTTTTTTCATATGCTTAAAGGGACACTGTAAGCACCCAGCCAGCTGAAGTGGTCTGGGTGCAGTGTCCCTTTTGCACTTAGTGCTGCAATGTTAAACATTGCATATGCAGAGAAACTGCAATGTTTACATTGCAGCACGAGGTCTGCCTCCAGTGACTGTCTACCAGGAAGCCACTGGGGGGCACTTCCTGGATCTAAACTGACCTTTGGTCCGGTATCCAATGCTGGGCGTCCTCACGTTCGGCATTAGGACATGCAGTGTCTGATTTTTTCCCCATAGGAAAGCATTGCTTCCTATGGTGAAGTCTAATGCGCCTGCGGCAATTGCCGCACATGTGCATTAGGACCCACTCATTGCGGGACCTTTACTTAACGCGGGGGAAGGGTGGCCCGGGGGAGGACGGAGGCAGAGGACGTGATAGTGCCAGGAATACAGCTTTGTAGTCCTAGCACTATAGTATCGCTTTAAATGACCATTATAATCACCCAGTCCACTTCATCTCAATGAAATGGTGTGAATGCAGTGGCTCTGTCATTTTTCTTCCACAATATTTCCCTGACAGCTACTAGATGGTGCTTCTGCATCCACAGCCGAGTCAGACTCAGTTCTTTGACATTCAATGTTCTCTGATGCTTCTAGTAGGGAAGTTTTGGATTCAGTGCTTCTGTGCGAGAAGCGTTTCATTGGTGGAGCGCAGCAATTGCCATGCATGCACCTATTGTCTGCAATGAGTCTCAGAGAACCATTTGATTGGACAAATTGCTTTCAAGCCTGCTGACATCAGAGAGGTGAATGGCACTGCTCAGAAGCGACTGTCTCAGCACTGGATTCCAGTTAACTAAAGCGTTATTTTAAATTTTTTATTTAAAAAGGGGGTCTTGCAATTTAAATCACCCTGCCCTGCTATTTGAGCAACATTTTTTGTTATTATCTAGGATTCCTTTATTATAATTATTAGCCAATTTTTCTTCAGTTATTTAAATTTCCCTTGATCTCACAAGGAGCAGTTGCTAGCATTGTGATATCATTTTTTATGACACAGAATCACAGAGGATCCTTTATTTGTAAGTAAATATGCTCAGGGAATGCAAATGTTTTGTTCTATACAACAATGCGTTATTTGTCTGAACAACAGGTTGCCTTCAGTATCTCTGTATTAATTTCTCTCCATTACCAAGGACATGGCATTTTAAACAAATATTTTTCCAAAAGTATACACATTATACTGCAGACACGTAATAAAACATTTTAAACTAATCTGTTATCCGCACATTGTGTGGATGAAACGTTCTGCTCCAGACGGAATATATTTTATCTAAATATTGAAATGGGTTATGATGAGCAAATGGCTGAGGTTGATGAGAGCTAGCTTCTGTGAGCATACTATGCGGGTAATTTAAAGGAACACTATAGTCACCTAAATTACTTTAGCTAAATAAAGCAGTTTTAGTGTATAGATCATTCCCCTGCAATTTCACTGCTCAATTCACTGTCATTTAGGAGTTAAATCACTTTGTTTCTGCTTATGCAGCCCTAGTCACACCTCCCCTGGCCATGATTGACAGAGCCTGCATGAAAAAAACAACTGGTTTCACTTTCAAACAGATGTGATTTACCTTAAATAATTGTATCTCAATCTCTAAATTAAACTTTAATCACATACAGGAGGCTCTTGCAGGGTCTAGCAAGCTATTAACATAGCAGGGGATAAGAAGATTGAAGGGAGGCTGCATCTCAAGACTCTTTGCTTCATAAACATTGAGGTGTTATCTTATTTAAGCCTCCCACTTTCTTAGACATATGTCACAGCAAAATGATTAATTGAAGCCTATCTTCAATACCTTCACCAAAGGAATGTATTGATATAACTTGGGAAACGATTATATTCCGACTCTATGATGTTTACGTTAATTATTATTTCAAATTCACCTGCGATTGTTATTTTTTTCTTTAGAAACCCATGATGAAACCAGATGGTTCCTGTAATCATCTGAAACATGAGAAGAAAAAACGATATGGCAACGCAATCCGGTAAGTGTTCAACATCGTTTTCGATATAAGCCTGTGAGTAGGATGTAAATATTCCCAGTGCAGAAGTGGCTTCTGGGAAATGTACTGCACAATTAGTTTTTTTTTCCATTCATTGTGTTACTTCTTCCTTTTTAAGTGAAAGACAACATAATATAGTTAAGGTGCAAGTAGTTTCACAGTACAGTTTTTAAACATGCACCTTGCTTTAGGTAAAGAAAAGAAAAAAAGAGAATATCAGTAGTTTATTTTGTATGAAGTCCAACCACATGCTTTCTTGCATGTTAGTGCCTGGACTGTCTGGAATTAACTTTTTAAAATCCATGGGCATTGGCATACCCTATGTCCAGTAAAGGTATTTGTCATAGATAGTTAAACACCCATTAGACGTTCATTATGTAAAATAGAATTAGATTGGAACTGCTGCTCAAATGGAAAGTATATATACAAGTTTCCTCCTGTGGTGTCTGTATGCAGTGTTGGCTTATAGTTGCAGAGATATTGGCACATTGCTGCACTTATAAGACACCGTGTTTCGGAAAATCGTGACCGTGACCGTTAACTATGTGTTAACATACAGTAAGGGGAAAAAGTATTTGTCCACTGACAAAGAAATTAACAGTCTATAAATTTAATGGTTGGTGTATTTTAACAGTGAGAGACAGAATAACAAAAAATACATCCAGAAAAACACATGTCAAAAAAGTTATGAATTGATTTGCATGTCAATGAGTGAAATAAGTAATTGATCCCCTATCAATCAGCAAGATTTCTGCCTCCCAGGTGTCTTTTATACAGGTAACAAGATGAGATTAGGAACACTCTCTTAAAGGGAGTGCTTCTAATCCAAGCTCGTTAACTGTATAAAAGACACCTGTCCACAGAAGCAATCAGTCAATCAGATTCCAAACTCTCCACCATGGCCAAGATCAAATAGCTGTCTAAGGATGTCAGGGTCAAGATTGTTAAGCTACAAAAGGCTGAAATGGGCTACAAGATCATCGCCAAGAAGCTTGGTGAGAAGGTGACAATAGTTGGTGCGATTATTCGGATATGAAAGAAACACAAAATAACTGTCAGTTTCCCTCGGTCTGGTGATCCATGCAAGATCTCACCTTATGGAGTTTCAATGATCATGAGAATGTTATGGAATCAGCCCAGAATTACACAGGAGGATATTGGTAATGATCTCAAGGCAGCTGGGACCATAGTCACCAAGAAAACAATTGGTAACACCCTATGCTGTGAAGGACTGAAATCCTACAGCGCCTGCAAGGTTGCCCTGCTCAAGAAAGCACATGTACAGGCCCGTCTGACGTTTGCTAATGAACATCTGAATGATTCAGAGGAGTACTGGGTGAAAGTGTTGTGGTCAGATGAGACCAAAATCGAGCTCTTTGGCATCAACTCAACCCGACGTGTTTGGAGGAGGAATGTTGCCTATGACCCCAAGAACACCATCCCCACTGTCAAACATGGAGGTGGACACATTATGCTTTGGGGGTGTTTTTCTGCTAAAGGGACAGGACAACTTCACCGCATCAAAGGGACGATGGACAGGGCCATGTACAGTCAAATCTTGAGTGAGAAACTCTTTCCCTCAGCCAGGCTATTGAAAATGGGTCGTGGATGGGTATTCCAGCATGACAATGACCCAAAACACACAGCGAAGGCAACAAAGGAGTGGCTCAAGAAGAAGCACATTAAGGTCCTGGAGTGGCCTAGCCAGAACTTAATCCCATAGAAAATCTGTGGAGGGAGCTGAAGTTTCTAGTTGCCAAATATCAGCCTCAAAACCTTAAAGACTTGGAGAAGATCTGCAAAGAGGAGTGGGACAAAATCCCTCCTGAGATGTGTGTAAACCTGGTGGCCAACTACAAGAAACGTCTGAACTCTGTGATTGCCAACAAGGGTTTTGCCACCAAGTACTAAGTCGAAGGGGTCAAATACTTATTTCACTCATTGACATGCAAATCAATTTATAACTTTTTTGACATGCGTTTTTCTGTTTGTTTGTTTTTTTTTTTTTGTTATTCTGTCTCTCACTGTTAAAATACACCTACCATTAAAATTAAAGACTGGTCATTTCTTTGTCAGTGGGCAAACATTCGAAATCAGCAGGGGATCGAATACTTTTTTTCCTCACTGTAGACTGTTATGGTGCTTGATGTGACCTTTTAAATATGCATGGTATTCAGACAGACTTAAAGGGACACTGTAGGCACCCAGACCACTTCAGCTAATTGAAGTGGTCTGGGTGCAGTGCCCCTTTTGCACTTAGTGCTGCAATGTAAAACATTGCAGTTCCATAGAAACTGCAATGTTTACATTGCAGCTCTAAGTCTGCCCAGTGGATGTCTCCCAGACAGTCACTAGAGGGCTTCCTGGATCCTAACGGACCTTTGGTACAGTATCTGACGCTGGAAGTCCTGACGATCTGCATGACGACACCCAGCATCAGATTTTTCTCCATAGAAAATCATTGATTTGCCGCACATGCGAATTAGCACCCACTCGTCGCGGGCCATTGGAGGGGGTGGAGTGTTGGCCCTGCACCGAGGGACATCAGTGCTGGGAAAACACATAACTTATTTTTAACCCTTTATTTACCTGGCGAGGGTGCGAGGGAAGGGGAAGGCAGAGGAAACTATGAGGCAGAGGAAAATACAGCTTTGTATTCCTGGTACTACAGTATCTGTTTAACCCCTTAAGGACACATGACATGTGTGACATGTCATGATTCCCTTTTATTCCAGAAGTTTGGTGCTTAAGGGGTTAAATAATAATAAATTTCACTAGTAGTAAATTACCCCACCAATGCTCAAGTCATGGAATTGCTTATGACTACTATCCCCCTTTATTCTACAAGTGTTCTAGCATTCACTGATACAGAGTTGTGTAAATAGAAGCAGGAATAGGGAGTTGAGTGGAGTCCATAATTAATCTGGGTAAACTACTGTCCCATATAATAACAGATGCATGGTTTTAGCCAGGAAGCTGTTTTTACTTTATTTCTCATTATGCACATAAACAGACATAAAAATTAATCATGCCAGCTTTTTTTATTATTATAAAAGACCTATGGGCTGGGTATTTGAGAACTTTGATGCACAATATAAACAGGTAATTGGAAAATAGTAGGTACATAGTTTCAATTGTTTAAGTATCCTTAAAGCAGTATAATGACAAACTTATTCAGTCTTAATTGCAAGTGCATGTACCCCATGGCCAAATAAATGGCATATTTATCTGTTTATTTGTTAAATGAACATGTAGACTCAGTTTTTATGCAAAACTCATTACTGTAAAATATTTCAGGTTAAATTCCTATGTTTAGTTTTTGGTTTTGTGAGCAAATAAACTGATAAAGGGATCTAAAACTGTTTGTTGTCTGTATATCTTATCTTTGAAGGTAAATATAATAAGTTAAACAAATAAAATATATACAATATAGTCCTTTTAAACACAAAAATAAATCTGTTATTTTTCTTTTCTGTTTGCAGAGGTAATTGGCTTTATAAATTAATCTTCAAAGTCCGCAATGAATATGACTACAATACAAATGGCAAAACTGAAACAGACTGTCCTACTTATTGTACAGTCTTTGAAACAAATCAGAGAATTCTTACACTGGAAAATGAAAACATAGAAACAGTTTTAGAAATATGTCCTCTGGAAAATGAAAAGAATATATCTGAAAGTGGAGATGACGAGGATGGTGGGTTTCCTACATCAGAGTTAAGCTCGTCTGTGAAAAACACGTTACTTAATATTATAAATAGTGATTCCATGTTTGAAAGATCATGTGAACAACAAAACTCATCTTCAAGTTGGGATGGTTTTTCTGGCTTCGGAGAATTTTGGCAAAAAGAAAAATCCCACGTGGAACAGTCTGAAAACTGCTCAGAATTGGGTTATCATCGTTATGAGTGTGATAATTCTGCAGTAGAGCTAAAATATAAAGCAAGCCAATCACAACATTCTGGTTTTGATCAATTCTCTGGAACTCAGCAGCAGCCCAAATCAGCTGTAAACCTTGTCAAGATTTCGTTAAATGATCGCTTTGACGTATGCATGAATACGGGCTATAACAGTTTTGCAAACATTGTGTCTGGAACACAAGATCAGGAAAATTGTGTAACTAATCCAGTCTGCAATGACCAAACATGGCCGTTGAGCGTCCCCACGAGCACAGTCGACAGAGAATGTATTTTGTTGACCTGCCTGGATAACGCAAAGTGCTATAATGGGAATCCTAACCTGCAGTTGACTGAAATGAGTCCAAGTACCATATATTATCAATTTACTTTAAAGTCCAAGTCACAGGAGCCCTTGGACTCAAACCAAGATAAACGCATGGATAACTGTGTAGGAATCTATCCCACATCCAGTCAAGAATGCGCTGGGTATCAAAGTTTTTCTTCAGCTATTGAGCAAGAGAAAGCCTCAACGAGCTTTCCAGTAGGACCTACAGACAGCTCAGTACTGGATTCTGGGTATAAATCCTTTGAGTGTGTTCTAACTCAGAACAAAACAGATATAGACAGCTGTTGTCTTTATGATGGGGACATAGAGTTTCAATTTGGGCAATCTGAAAATGATGTAGAACTCTCATGTGACTTTGACTTAAGTGAAACAAGGGTTGCAAGTAATGGAACCAAAGAAAAAATTGAGGATGCAGATGCCAGCAGACTTTGTTTTGGCCTTCCAAATTTCAGCTTCGCCGAAGCATTCCTCGGTGATTGTAACACTTCAAAAGAGGATAATTATCATCAACCTCACAAAAGAGAACCAACCAAGCAAAAAGAGGATGATGGAAATATATCAAATAATACTCAACATAACACTAACATTAACCATCATGATGAAAATGATGGTGAAATTCCCTATGCTCTTACATTTGACCTATCTAACCATTTGTGGAATGTCACTAACATCTGTGGACATAACAAAACTCCAGAAAATTTAAAGTCAGAAAGCTTAGTACATATAAAGATGAATGATAATATTTTCAGTTGTACGAATAACATGAAATATGGATATAAACTCGAAGGCATTGAGGATCATCTGTCTTTCACCGACTATCTTAATGAGCCAAGTTACCAACAAATGAAGTTTGAAAATATGTCATATTTTCTGCATCCCTTTTCATTAAAAAACACACAGGACAATTTATGTGAGACATCGACCAAATTACTCATGCCTGAAAAAATGTTTGACAAAGATGGCAATTTGTATTTGAAGTTGGCGCTATTGAACATTCATCCATCAATAGGCAATTTTGACTGTGATGTTGGTGAACTTTGAGGACTTGTAAGAGATATTTTAAAAATATAATTTTTTTTATACCAGAATAATAAGAGAAAGAACACTGGGAACGATATTGAATGTCGTGTTGCTTTCTCTACTATGCAACCCAATCAATGTTCGCTCTAAGCACTTAAGCACTATTATGTGATCACTTGCCACTGAAAAAATCTAAGAAAGGAAAACACACGCTTATCAATTCGGACTACAAGATTCCCTTTCTTGAAATTTTCAGTGTTAGAATGATCACAAAAAAATTGTTCAGAGGAAAAACCCCCCCTAAAATTTGACAGCTTTCTCTGTCAATGTTTGTCCTGTTAAGGTTGTTGATATTAAATGTCTTGCACCTGCAATATGTAAGCTTTATGGTATTTGCCTGTGGTGATAAATTTTGTTTTACTTGTTAAAATATTGATGGTAATCGGAAGTGTGATGGTGCACTTTGTAGAAATTAGTAAATCCGTTGAATGCCATGTTTTGGCAAGAACTCTGAAAAATATCTGTTATTGTGAATAGTACAGAATGATCAGACTGGAGATGACACTCGAAAAAATATATATAATATATATGTTTTTACAGCTTTTACTTTTTCCCCTCTATTGGTCAATTCTCACTTAATCTGTGAATACTATCATCATTTAGTAACTGCCCCCTAGCCACTTTTTTGAGCCACGAACAGAACTCTGAATCGGGAACAAATGATCGGAGATCTCACCAGCCAGAAAGCCATAATTCCACACACTTTCCAACAATAGGTTGCGGTAAAACAGAACAAAAAGATACAGGTTGAGCCTAGAAATGGTAATAGCCCATTAAAAAGAAGAATTAAAAGGGTGCTGTAAGAAATAGACCACATAGAAATTAACAATAAGAAGTACAAAAAGATACCAGGGGGTATGAAATAGTCCTAAAATGACACTACTTCTTTAGATTTTCATTTTTGAGACAGCTCCAAAAAAAAAACCAGAAGACAGAAGGAACCAATAGGGCAATATGTCAAATAAGGTGGGCTAAGATATAAAAATGCCAAGTTACATATAATAAAAGCTATAACCAGCTCTAGGTAAAACAGCATGCAATTGCATAAAATTCCCATTTGCAGGATATCTCTCTGATGGTAGTTTCACAGCTGGGTAGTGGTGGCATAGGTGATAGGTCATATGAAATAGAAAAAGGAAGCCTATAGTGCTTTCCATACAGGTAAGTATAAATAGTAATATGAACTATACTTACAATAAAAATAGCAGGCTAACAGCTCTATGTACCAGGTGTGGGTGATATAATCCCCAACTAGGATTCTTTTGATGGTTGTTTGCTGGTGCTTTAGATGATAAAATCTGTGCCATGTAAAAAATAAATAAAAACCTCTAAAATAAAATACTAAAAAGTATATAGGTTAGCCACAAATAGTCAAGTAGCCAAATAATACTTTTATTAAACAGTAAATAGTAAAACGACAACGTGTTTCACCCTCAAGGGTTTTATCAAGGGTTAACAAATTTAAACCTATTTAGTTTAGAAAAACGTTCGCCTGAGAGGGGATATGATAACCTTATACACATATATTCGGGGCCAATACAAACCATTGTGTGGAAATCTATTCACAAACCGGACATAGGACACGAGGCCATGCGTTTAGACTGGAAGAAAGAAGATTTCATCTAAGGCAAAGGAAAGGTTTTTTTACTGTAAGAACAAACAGGATGTGGAATTCTCTGCCTGAAGAAGTGGTTTTATCAGAGTCCATACAGATGTTCAAACAGCTACTAGATGCATACTTGCAAAAACAGAATATTCAAGGATATTCAATCAATGTGGGGTAATAACTGCTTGATCCAAGGATAAATCTGACTGCCATTCTGGGGTCAAGAAGGAATTTTTTTCCTAGCTTATTGCAAAATTGTGCTTCAAACTGGGTTTTTTTGCCTTCTTTTGGAAGGCAAAAATATCAACAGCAAAAAACAAATGTGAGGAAGGCTGAACTTGATGGATGCAAGTCTCTTTTCAGCTATGTAACTATGTAACTATGTAATCAAGTGGAATAAAAAACCTGCAACCAATCACACTATAAGTAACCACCACCACCACCTTCTCAGTGAGACCTGGTATCAGTCCTGGTGTTCCTGCCAGATCTCCTCTATGATCACCTATATGGCGCTCAGCGTGAAAGGAAGAGGCGGGGAGAGGAAGTGACATCACTTCCTGCATTCTCTCCTGCGGAGTGCTCCTGGAATGTGAGCAGTAGGACGATAACACTGCAGACCGTATCGTCCTCACACACATACAGCAGCCTCTAGATCCCCCACACTCAGTAGATCCCCTATTATGCACACAAACACAAACACACTACAGGCCAGTACCCCCCGACACCTACTACAGCCTATCCACACAAACACTGCAGCACAAAAAGTCCTCTCCACTCACATGCTACACTGAAAACAGCCCCATCCACACACACAAATCCACAAGGAGCCTTTCTGAATGCACATATAGACATCACAAGCAGCATGTCCACACATGCATTACTGCATACAGCCTCCTTACACACACAATTATTACAATTATTTATATAGCACCAACATATCCTCTAGTGCTGTACAATGGGTAAAACAATATTTTACAAATATTTAAAAAATATTTTAGACAATCTTTATTTTGTATTAATATTTTAGAAAAAAATATATGTACAGTGAGGTGTATACAGTAAGCAATTAGCTTGTACATACTGTGTTTACATATATAAGTGTATGAATTCGGTCTCGAAAAAGCAAGGCCTACAGTATGTGAATACAATATTTAGACAGTTGAACAAATAGAGTATCTCATGTCATATCTAGCTATCAATCTTTTTATCAAGAATAAAACAGTGTCTTATCTGATCAACGCAACTGTAGAGAGAAACAAAACTGTCACTAAGTTGAATCATTTTGCTTCTATCAAGGCGGGGAGTGGGGGTGAGAGGGGGCATCTATATTGGTCAGAGGATCAGATATAGGCAAAGAGACTACAGTGTGCGACTGTCGCATCAGGGCGTAAGGGACTCCATCAGGTCCGGGGGGGTGAGAGAGGAGAGAGAAAGAAAATATATTTTTTTCTTTTTTAGAATTTAGCCTCTCGGTTCACTTGCAGCAATATACATTAGCCACTGGGTCCAGGTCTCTGTACACCTTTTCGAACGGCCCTGTAGGGCAGCTGTCATCGATTCCATGGTATAAATATCTCCTACCCTATCAACCCATTGCTGGACGGTTGGCGTACCTATCTACTTCCAAAGTGTGGGGATCAAGGATTTTGCTGCAGTCTGCAGATGTTCAGTCAATGACTTCTTTTCAATGTAATGTTTGTATGGTGTAAAAGCATGGAAAGAGGCTGAAGAGGTAGCACGGGGTCTGAGATCTCTCTAATCTTAAAGTTCACCAAGGCCCAGAAGGGAGAAATTCCAGGGCATGTTCCGTGAAGCATCATGCCAATTCCTGACCTACACGACCAGCACTTCTCTGGATTATCTCCATTCATGTGGTGTAGGATGTCAGGGGTTCTGTACCTATTAGACCAGTGGTTCCCAACCCAGTCCAGGATTTTGGAATTACCCTGTTGTGTCTACAGTGTTTTGTTTTTTTATTCTAAAAACACCTTAGACACTATTGAGTAATCCATAAATTCTGGACTGTTAGGGGGTACTTGAGGACTGGGTTGGGAACCACTGAATTAGACAATAGCTTAAAGATCATCTCCAGACATGTCGAGCTGATAGAGCATTTATATGTGAATATGAAAATGTTATTCTACTCCTGTTCAGTCAGTGCCACACCAGTCTCCCTTTTCCATCCAGCAATAAACTTGGGGGGTGGCCTATTTTCCCCAGTTAATAGCATAGCATACAGCAGGGCCAGAATGGGAAAAAAAATCGACCAGGTGTGTTTGTGTGTATGTCATGTAGTGTGTGTAGGGGTTGTAGAGAGTGTATGTTTAGGGAATGTAGTTTGTGTTTGTTTACAAAGAATCTACTGTGTGTATAGGGGATCCAGAGTGTGTATGTAAGGAATGTTGTGTGTGTAGATGGTGCAGTATGTGCGCAGGGGTGGGGGAGGGTGGGGGGAGGATCTAGTGTGTGTTTGAAGGATCCCAGAGTGTGTATAGGAGATCTAGTGTGTGTGTGTAGAGGATTCAGAGTGTATATAGGGATCTAGTGTGTGTAGATGATCCAGAGTTGGTAAGGGATCTAGTGTGTGTCTGGAGTGCAATGTGTGTATGGCTGCAGTGTGTGTGGGGGAGGGGGTGCAGTGTGTGAGAGAGGGGTCCTGTAGTATATATCTATACCTTTAGAAGTATTAAAAATATACAAAACAAAGGAAACAGCGCTAAAATAAACCAACACTACAAGTATGGGAAGTAGGAGGCAGAAAACCTGGGTTTAGGGCTCCCTCTTGGCCCTACAGATAAAGTTAATACACAAAACAAGACAAATGAAGGTTGCGCCAAAGCTGGCTGTAGTCCAGCTAATATGAATAAAGTCCAAAACAGTAAAAAGCAAAGTCCAAAGTAATATAAAACAAACTCTTTAGTGGAGCCCGATGGGGTATCAACGGCCTATGAAGAGGGATATTCTCTGTATGGATCCAATGGAGGCGGCTTTCCAGGATCCGTATGTGAAAAGAGATAGGGATAATACGTGCAAATACGTCAAGTAAAAAGGTGGGATAGCAGGAAGACGAAGTCTATGATAGTCCTACTCACGTGTAGTTGAGCTAAACTAGCTCTAGTGTTGATGGCGTACAGCGGTACACAGGGGCGTACCTAGAGCATTTGGCACCTGGGGCGGATCCTGTGTTTGGCACCCCCCCCACCCCCCTCCCCCCCCCAAAAAAAAAAAAACCTGTAAAAAATGTTAAAGGTTTTATTTCTTTTATTTTTACAATTTGTAAACTTTGCAAAACCGCTGTCAGCCCCTCCTACAAAACCTTTGTCCTGCCCTGCCCCTCCTACAAAACCTCTGTCCTGCCCCTTCTACAAATCCTGTACTGCCCCATCTACAAAACCCCCGCAACCCCCTTCCACAAATCCCCTGCTTATCCCCCCTTATAAAGACTCCTGTCCCAATACAAAACCCCCACCCCCTTCTACAAAATCCCTGCAGCCCCACACACACATTTACAGGCAGACAGTCACACACTCAGTTACAGACAGACAGTCACACACTCAGTTACAGGCAGACAGTCACACACTCAGTTACAGGCAGACAGTCACACACAGTCACAGGCAGACAGTCACACATACACATTTCCTCCGTGCGGCCAGTTTATCAGCTGTTTGCTTGAGTGAGTTGTACTGGCCGCACGGCACCCTAACTACCATGGGACACTGTGCGGCCACAGCTCACACAGCTCCCTCCAGCCAGGGCCGGTACAAGGATTTTTGCCGCCCAAGGCAAAAGTAAAGTTTGCCGCCCCCCATGTGACATCACAATGCCCCAGCCATATGATTTGCCATGTTAACTAACGCCAGTGCTGCAGTGCCGCCGTGTTTACATTAAAAGGCCTGCAGGGACAGGCTATAGACACCAGAACCACTACATTAAGCTGAAGTGGTTCTGGGGACTATAGTGTTTCTTTAATGTGAGGTAAATTAGAGCTTAGTGCCACGAATAATATACTAGATTGCCTACTTACAACCAGATGATGGGCTCTAGCTGCAGTCTGGCTCCACTGGTCTGGTGCAGAACAGGCTCTCTGGAGGCGGTTTGTAACTGTGGTCACAAAAATCAATGTTCTGGGAGAACGGGAAGCAGCTCCATTTTTTGGGGGTCCTTTACACAGCTCAAGGTCTGGGTCCCAGGGTCCACCTTCATGTTCCACCAATGAGTTTGTTCACAGGGGGTGGAGTGTGTAGGGGATGTCCTGATATGTGTGTAAGGAATGCATTGTGTGAAATTGTGTTTGTATGTGTAAGGACTGCAAGGTGTGTTTCTGTGTATGTATGGGATGCATTGAATGTGTGTAAGGGGTGCATTGAGTGTGTGTAATGAATGCATTGTGTGTTTCTGTGTGTGTAAGGGATGCATTGTGTGTAACGGTTGCATTGCTTGTGTATGTGTGTTGTGTGTTTTTCTGTGTGCAAGGGGTGCATTGTGTGTATGTGATGAATGTCAATCTCTCCTCCCGCTCCAATTTCCTTCTCCTCCTCCCAATTTCTCTTTCTCACCCCCCCTCCTAATTTCTCTCCCCCCCTCCTAATTTCTCTCTCACCCC